GACCACGCCTCCTCATTTTGATAAAATCTATTCCCAGGTTCGTTTTTACATGGTTTATATATTGATAAATTGCCGTTTTAAAAGTGTAATCACATGAATACGAGTATTGCCATTTAAACATGCTTGATAAGTAATAACATAATAAATGTATGTAGTGTTGTTTCTACCATTATTATTATGCCAGTGTCGACGTGCATTTTGACACGCGTCTGCATTACAATAGTCCTGGCGAACTTGTTTATCCGGGTACTTAGTGTCGCAAAATGATGATTTAGATATGCATAAAACCAGCATACTTGGTAAAAAGGGAATATTTTTTCGTTGGATAATAATTATTGAAATAGTTAATGATTACTATCTGACGTTATTCTGAATGGCTGATATATAGATATTATGTTAGGTCGTGACCTGCCGCAAATAGGTATGTCATAAAGCACAGCCAAAACACTTGTTCAAAGATGGCGGCACTTCTAAAACATCCTTGCAGATCCGGTAAATATTGTTGTTTTCAATGAATGTTTGTAAATATTTTGTTCTGTTGAGGGGGGGGGGAGGTTATATATATGAACATTTGTACGTGCGCGTGCAATCGCGCGACATGCAATCCCGATGCATTATCGGTCCTGGAAAGTGCCGGTTCGTTTACTCGCTCATTTACACTGTCAGACCGATTCAGTTTATTTTGCCTTTACAATGTACATCACCGCCGGCCTTGACGTCGGTGCTGCACGTAGGCATTTGGCATAGTCGAGTTCATTGTAATACAATCTCGGCCTTGAAAGCAATTAATTCACAATCCAGTTATCAGACTGCTTGTTGGATGGGGAATTTATAGGACACATCGTTTTGTTTTAGTTACACTATACCGTGCACGTACAAGGTTTTTTTATTGGAGGTAATTATTTACCCAATGAGTTATCTAATTACTTTATCACTGCACTTTTGTTTCCAAATATTTTACCTCAACTTTATAATGACCCTGTTGTTGAATAATTAGAGAACATTACAACGGTCTGGTCACAGTTATGTTGTTGAATCGTGTTTTAAATATTGAAATGAGACTCATTATTCATTAATTTCATTACTTCTTAGTTAAAAATTGACTAGTGATTCAATATTACTATGCATGTTGCCCATCTAACAAACATTGGTATGACACAGGCACTACCATATTCCCTATATCTAAGCTTTCAGATGATGTTCAGGTTGCGATTGTAGCATGCTTGGTAACATTTAGTAAATGTGTGAATTACAGATCAATTTTTAACTAGTTTTTCTCCTGTTGCTACCTTAATTGAAGTATCAAAATAAATATATTCATTATTTTAATTTTTTTTTTCGTTATTTGAATAATCAATTACTTCACTGTGATCAACAGCATTCCAGACTCTTCGGACGTCGAGTAGGTGGATATCGAGTGATGGTGCTACACCAAGAATAACAACCCACTACACCGTAGTACCAAGGGAGAATGATGCAAGGTGGAAAGGTCAGGGGTAATTTTATGTACATGTATAATATATCTTTGTATTCACTACAACAATAAACCAAAGTAGATAATAAAATTGAACTTCATTGAAGTTCATTTTACATGAATAATTTAATTGTCTTTTGCAGCTGTGCAAAATCCCTCTCTGTAAATATAGTTGACCTTGGTCAATTCAGTGAATAAACTAAACATACTGCAGTGAAATAAAACCAATTATATTACCATATTGCTATTGCTATTTTGATGAATAGACAGTGATTATGACTCACTGCTTGTTGACATTTCTCTCAAAATAAAAAAAAAATGTTTCCAGATTTTGCAGTGACACAATGTTTGGATTATGAATCAAGAAAAAAATATAGTAAATATGTATTGCTGGCTACACTTTGGTACATTGTACCAGGATGCTTGTTATGAGGTGAAACAACACTTGTAATTTCTCAACATTATAATGGTACTTGCTCTATCGTATTTCTTAAATGAAAGATGGGTATCTGGGCAAGGTCAAACTACATTATATTTTAATGATCCAGTCTTAGTTAGAATGAATGCAATTTTTTTTGTTTTTATGCACTTCTAATGGAGATGCACTTCTAATAGAGCAACTACAGTGTTGTCAGTTTGATTACTGTAGCATTGAATGAATGCTTTTGCTGTAAAGGTGTTTTGGACTTTGGTGGTATGACCCCTGGTTGACCTCAAGTGTCAATCTTGTTGTAGACTTTGATATAGTGTGTATGTAAGACGTAGTGATAAATTCTGATCAGATACTATTAAGATTTCTGTCTCAAAACATCGTGTTATCTTCTCTAACCAAATAGTAATATGTGGTTGTAGGGACTGTATGCATATTGCACAACATAGACATGGTAGTGGGACTCTCAAATGGTTCTGGAGAACCCTTCAAGTTCTATTTTATTGTCTATTGCCTTTAAAATAATTTAAATTAAACTTGTATTTTTTTTTTATTCTCTTAATTCTTGTTGCTCCCACCGGAACATAAGGTTAATACAAGATCCCTCCACTTAACACGGTTTTTAGCCTTGGTTTCTGCCTCTCCCCATGTTAAACTCATTTCCCTGAGTTCTTGCTCAATGGTTCTCTGCCAGGTGTTCTTCGGCCTGCCCTTCGGTCGTTTTCCTTGTGGTGTCCAGCGGAGAGCTATCTTGGTGTTGTATGAATCAGGCATTCTGAGAACATGGCCAAGCCATCTGAGTCTTCTAAGCCTTATTTGTGCAATGATTCAGATGGCTCCAGTTCTGTTGAGTAGGTCCAAGGTGGATATTCGGCAGGGTCAGAAAACTTTGCAGATGCGCCTGAAGCAGTTATGGTGGAAACTTGATAGCTTTTTCATGTCAACCTTGGTGCCCCTCCAGCTTTCACTCCCATACAGTAAAATGGATTTTATATTGCTGTTATGAATTTTGATTTTAGTGCTGATGTTATACTAGTACTAGCTAGATTTCCATATGGGCCACAACCTTTGAAATGCAGATCTTGCTTTGGCTAGTCTGCTTTTAATGTCCTTTTGTGTGGGGTCCTCATTGCTCACGACTGCACCTAAGTAAGTAAATTGGTCCACCTGCTCAATTTCTGCTCCATCAATGACCAGTCTACTGTTGCATATGGTGTTGAGCCTCATTTCCTGGGTCTTCTTTGTGTTAATTTGGAGCCCAATTTGTTTGGCATAGTAGCTGAGTCGTTTTTTTATTACACAGCATTATATTAGTACAGTTAACAACTTGATTTATTTATGGGACTTTGGACCCATTTCTTGTATATTAATTTTGTGACCTGTCATCGTGGCATATAAATCAAAATTCAAATCATCTATGGCAAGGGAAATAGAAGAAGAAAAACTTTTAAAAAATGTTTGATTCATGTTGATTCAGTACAAATTGTCTGGTGGTAATACAGGTACTAATACATGTATGCATTTAATAGACTCATAAAGATTCCACCAAAATCTATCATTTGGTAATTTTTTGCTACCCAGGAAGTATATTTATATTATCACAGGATATGTAAACCTATATCGGCAACTAATTTCATGTTATCTAAAAGCCTCAAAACTTAATTAAATTTTAATTTTGATATTTTGATGGTGGTGATTTATAATAACAATAATTAATTCCCCACAGCTTCATATTGGGTTTAGAGAAGGGTTTAGATGCGCTAATGTGTGTGACGAAACCATAGACTCTTTTTCTCATCCAATATAGCACTGTGGTTCAATTGGGATATTTGCTTAATTAATGGCTTGACTTCATCCCACCCATTATTTTATTATCACACAGTAGTAGGTAGTGTGTCTTTTATTATTCTCTAAATATTTGCATTACATTAAATCATGGCATTGCTGTGTTCTAGTATTGAATTGTGACAGCAAAACAAAAATAGATTATAAACAGTACTGATACATCCAGGTTGTAATAGATTAGGCAGCAGCTGTCCATACTTTGAGATAGGATATCACAGTATAATTAATCTCCTCTAACAAAAGATGGTATCCACAAATAATAAATACAGTGGTCAAACAATGTTCATTATCAATAAATGAAATTCATTTAAATCTGTGTGTGGTATGGTCAGTACATGTACTGTAAAGGGTTAATTATTCACTGGGTTTTAATTTGGCTTATTTCGCAAACTGGAAAATGCGCTAAATTTATCTAAATGATAAAACTGTGAATTTAAAACCCACTGAATATGCCTGAATTGCTAAATCAGTGAAATTTAAACACAGTGAAAATTAGTCATTTTACAGTATGCCTATTTGCTACAGGTTTATATAGATCAAAATTTTGGAAATAATATAAACAAAATTAGGTGGGTTGAAAATTTGTTGACCTTGGCGCTTAAAGAGTATAAAGAATGACAGTTTTATCGCATATTTTAAAATTTTCTTTCAATAAACAATGATTCTCTTCAGATTTTTTTTTACGGGATCCTTGTAAAATATGCATCATTTGACAACTGCTCATTCATGATAGTTGAAAACTGGTATAAAAACAGAATTCATTAGGATTCAATTTGGTGAAAAAACATCTGCCCTGAAAATGATGTACATGTAGATCGCAGGAGGAAATAACATCACTACATAACAAATTTAATCTAATTTAACAACAGAAGTATTTTGTATTTCTTGTTAATGAATAATATTTGTTTTGGTTTAAATTCATGGCTTTGTTAATGTGCTTGTGTTAACCCGTGATGGTACAACAAAAATATGTCAACTGTCTGCCCTGCACTCTCCAACAACATTGTTGTTGGGTTTTTTCAAGTATGTGTTCCCTTGGTGGACAAACCGTTCACAAACTATTTATTTGTGTAGTCTTTGTAAGTATTTATATGCACACCTGTTTATTTCATAGATGTTGAAATGGAAAGATATGGAGATGAAGCGGATGTTGTCATCGTTGGTGGTGGTCCATCTGGTCTGTCAACAGCAATACGACTTAAACAACTGAGTCAGGAAAAAGGTCATGAACTCCGTGTGTGTGTTGTTGAGAAAGCATCTGAGATAGGTAAGGATTTTCACAATCTTGGATAATCGTACAGTGAATTGATCTTCAATTAAATAAGTCTTGATCTGTGACCTATAGTAATGAAACGATGGAAATTTTGTAACTGTTCTTGAACCGATTATGTGACTAAGAATTATTGAAAGTTTAATATTTCACTTTCACTTATTTCTTTTTCATGGAACTTGACGCACTGTCTGTTCTAAGTGAATAATGTTAATGCATCGTTTTCTTTTGTGATGTGTGCAATGAGGGTTGATAATAAGGTTATCACTATTACCATATCACAACATACAGCCATATATGTATATACACTGTATATATAGCTGTAGAGGTATGTAAATGTATGATAAAACAGCCATTGCGAGCGTCGCTGCGAGTTCGCAATGGCGAAAAAACAGGCGATTGCGAGTTCGCAATGGCAAAAAAACTGACGATTGAGAGTTCGCAATGCCACAAAAACAGTCGACTGAGAGTTCACAGTAACACATAAAACAAAAGGCTGATTTATATTGTTGAGCGTTGCTGCAGTGAAAAATAGAAAACAGTTATGAAATGTCATGTGAACCATCAAAGGTATGCCGACAGTCAACCAATGGTAGATGTGGATTCATGCAACCCTGCTGTTACATTGTACCAAACATGAAGCGGAGAGATTTGACACAGCGTAATAAAATTCTCTTGCGAGGACGTTTCATTTGGTGAATTATTTGAGGGAAAAAACGTTGCGACAGGATGTAATTCACAGCGTTTCGCAGAGCAAAAACCTGGGCGTCATTTTATTTTTGTTAGAAATAAATAATTTGTACATATTTCCCAGATAACGAAATGTTTGTTTCATCAGGAAGGGACGGTATTATATTCCTGAGATCACACGTAATTTTAATGAGCGGCCCTACTAAGTACTCCAATATACGACATTCATCTCCGTCTTTTTTACGAAATTGATAATTTCAAGCAGTCTCGAGCTTGATGCAGAAATGGGATTTCCCAAGCAGTTCAATTCATTTGCGAACACAAGCGGAAACGTGATGTCGCCATTTGTCTCCGCAAATTTACCCTCTGGTCAGTTTTGATACAATGTACATGTACTACAAAAGAATTGAACCATAATAATAGTATCTAATAAAAAATGCACAACAAAAATAAAGGCACGACAAATCGTAATTTTTGCATGAAATATGTAAACGGTTTGGATGTTTACAAGACATGTAAGTCAGTAACTTGTTTTTTTTTTTTCTTCAGTTGATAACTTTACCGGCATTCGATGATTAGCACCAGCCAAGTACAACACCCGTAATGGGCTGTAATTAGTGGTACACGTTAACTAGTCCACATGAGCTCATTTCAGCTACATGAACTAGCTACAGCCCCTTTCACTTGAGCCTGCAGTTTGTATTGTAATAGAAGTCAAAATAAATGGGTCAGGCAACAATGTTCCAGTTCACAATAATACAAATAAACCAATAAACCACAAACATACTCACACGATTTTAACATTGCCGAAAATGCATTTGAGCATTTGTAAAAATATGTTCAAGCAGCCATTTTATAGCTCAGTAGAGATGATAAAACTCTATTTTGAAATGCAGAGGGAGAATTTTCACCTGCTTACTCAGAGAGTATCTAATCCGTATAAAATTTTAACCTTTATCTTAAAAAGTTACTGCCATGACCGTAGACTACATCGTTTTGTAATTTGGAAGACCATGTTTCAATGTGTGTCAATTCTGTGGTAATTATTCTTTTGAAAATGCCTGTTGTCACAAATAGAAACTTTGTTGCCTGGCCCATTTATTTTTATGTTACCCATGATACAAACTGCAAGCTCGAACGAACTGTAATGAACTACTGTAAATATTAAGGCAACTATTAGGAGAGTACAGAGAATACAGCAGCGTAGACCACGTCACTCTAGATGGAACTGTGAATATACCCGACTTGAATTCGGATTCTCACAAGTTGCCTTGTTGCCAGAAATGACTTGTTTATTTTACTTTACACAGTTTACACACATAAACAATAAGCGCGCATACTGACATTAATTGCGTTCACGCACAGCTCTTTAGCACGGGCTAAGAGGTTAAATTCCTTAGCCCGTGCTAAGAAAACATGCGTGAACGCTTAGCACGGGCTAAGGAATGCTAAAGTACGGGTTAAATCTGATCCTAATTTAAGACGCGGTAGACCCTTAGCACGGGCTAACGAAGTGTGCGCGAATGCTTAGCCCAGGGCTAAGCGCCCTCTGCGGCGACCTTTTGGTTCGCTGTCTACGACATGCATTAATAAATTTCTGTATTCTGTTACGCTGTTGTATACTGTTTCTGTGCATCCAAATAAGTTGGGTCCGTTCTCTCTCTCGTTCCTGTGCACGTCGCTTCAAAATTAGAACGAAACATGTCAGCAGCAGAAATAGAACCTCGCACTTGTCGTTCATTTTTCGTTCGTAAATCGCGGCTTGCCAAAGATCACCGACTGATGGCGCCCCTTAGCCCGTGCTAACGACTGGCCCTCCCTGTGCGTGGTCTAGCCGAAATGCAAATATGCTAGATAAGCCTAAATCAGCTCAAATCTTAGCCCGTACTTCGTGTAACATGAAAACAACTCATCTGTGCACATAGAACGTTTGCTGTACTTGAATAATCTGTCGAATTATAAAAACTAAACTCCTCCCATACCACCGGAGGTAAATGTAGCCAAAGGTAGCTTTGATGTTTCCTGTTCAGTTTTTGTGTCACGACGAATGCACATAGTCCTATCTGATCTGTTTCTGAAACTTGAAGTATGTAGTTACCGTAGTAAACACCCACAACTATCTCATCGTAAAAAGATCGATTGCGGGCCATATGCAGAAAACAATCGTTGGAAAAAAACTATATGCTAAAAACAAAACTTATCAACTGGGCATGGGATCTCACCAACGCGTCAAGTGATTATCCAATCACAGACGTGAATTCACGTAGCAGGCGATGAACTCAACTTGATCGTTAGCTTTCTAACCGTATTTCTCACGAAACATCGTCTCAAATATATTTTCTTTACTATTTCTACGCATCAGTAGTAGCATTTATGTCGCCAGTCAGTAATGTTACAATTTCGCTGCGACCAAGAGTGAAGAGTTTGCTTATTGTTTACCGTAGCCTCAGACTAGTCTGAGTCGTAGCGAACACACCAGCGCCATATAGAGCATGCATGCACATATTATCGGTCATCGCCGTGGCATCGTAGTTCAACGATACGAGGATGGCAAATATATATGATACGTAACAGGATACGTATCAGCTCCGTTATAAGTTCTGTCGTTACGGAGTGTTCGCATAGCTCTGATCAATATTCTATTGAAGCATCCCTGACTGGACCACTATACAAGTTGACGCTTGTAGCTTGTGTTAGCCTGTAAATAAATAAACTACGAGGGTTTCTGCAACATATGCAAGTGATTAGTAATACCTCAAATAAACAACTACCCCGGGAACTGAATTGACTCCATTTTTCGCGACAATCGTAGGTTAGAGCAACGGACAACAAAAATAAAATCCTGCCCATTTGTAATGATTCAGATTGCAGTGCAGTTTGCCGGTGAAATGTACCGCTGTCTGCAGACTGCACGCCATGTTCGGGGTCATTTTGTAATTCGAACTATGAATACAATGGCTCTGCGGAACGCTGTGAATTACATCTTGTCACAACGTTTTTTCCTCAAATAATTCACCAAATGAAATGTCCTCACAAGAGAGTTTGACTTTTATTATGCTGTGTCAAATCTCTCCGCTTCATGTTTGGTACAATGTAACAACAGGGTTGCGTGAATCCACATCTACCATTGGTTGACTGTCGGCATACCTTTGATGGTTAACGCGACGTTTCAAAACTGTTTTCTATTTTCCACCACAGCAATGCTCAACAATATAAATCAGTCTTTTGTTTTATGCGTTACTCGAACTCTCAGTCGACTGTTTTTTTGCCATTGCTAACTCTCAATCGTCAGTTTTTTTGCCATTGCGAACTCGCAGCGACGCTCGTAATGGCTGTTTTTCCATACATTTACATACCTCTGTATGAGAAATATGTTGTTTTTTTTCATACTCATTCCTTGACCACTCACATGGTGTTTGAACTTTTTCAAGGTGGTGAAAATGTTTTTGCTGTGAACTTCATTTTGAAACATGGCTAATATTTTGGAAATATCACATCTTTGTTCAATATTTGGAATTTGCATATGCAGATAAGGTAGGCTGCTGATAACCTGTGCATTACTGCACCAGATATATGTAGAAATATTCCTTTTAATCTGTGCCCAACCTTAGGTGGCCATACATTATCCGGTGCTTGTCTGGAACCTGTAGCTTTGAATGAACTCATACCGGACTGGAAAGAGAAAGGTGCACCTTTACATACACAAGTCAAAGATGACAGATTTGGTTTATTAACAGAGAAGAGACGGATACCAATACCGATATTACCAGGTATTAACTCTATTTTACTTCATATCGGTACAAACATTTATTCTTAAATGGTAAAAATAAATAAACTTGCTAAATCCTGCTATGAAATAGTTTTGTATCCTTTTCATTCTTTTTAATTTCCTCTGCTCACCCCTCCCTTTTACTGGTATGTAAAGGATATGTGAAGGGGTTACATCAGTCGCTGCATTGTTGACTTTTCTGTATACATATCTTAACAGACTTTCATCAAATGTTATATTCTATATTTCAAATCAGGAATTTTGGGTCATGTTAATACCGTGTGTTTCAGTCTGTTCAAAATAATAGTCTTATTGCTACATAGATGCAGTCAAATCTCATTAAAACGCAAACTTGTAATAAAGAAACAAATAGTCTTTTTTGCTTTGTGGTAAAATTCTTTTTAGTATGGACACCTAGATGAATTATTCAAATTTAACATTGTGATTGAACTTGTTTTGATAATTTAATCTTCTCAAGATTAGCAACATTTTAAAACAACAAATTCATGGTCATTTTAATGTTAAAATCCATCAAAATCAAGCCTTTCTGCCTTTCATGGGCAGCTATTGTCCATATTGAAACATACATTATATATGTATATATTGCCTGATTGCAATTAAACTTTATTATTATCGGTATATTATTATACATTATGTAATATGTTTCATGTTGTGATTCAAAATGACTCATTTCAGTTTACAGTGACTTTGTTATGACTTGTTACATGTAGATATATATTGGTTTGACTAAATGTAAATTATGCTCCTGCTTTATATGCAATCATATTTGTATCATGGTTATGTTATTCATGATTATATATTACTTAATTACATTTGAAATTGCAAGATATGTATATTAAAGTTAAAAGACACCATTTATAACTTTTTGCACTCCATGCAAGAAGTGTCATTAGCGAGTAAATTCTATATCCTAAAGTTGAAAGTTAAAATGTCGGAACATGTACCAATATATGATATATTACATGAATGCAACCTTGCAATGCTTTGCACAGTAAAAGTGTGTTCACTTTGGCACATATTGATATGACTGTGCATTGTTCACTGAACATGTATGTGTTTTCTGTTAATACGTGCAATAACACTGCCAGCATTGAAACTATTTTTTGTATTCTAACGCACTGATGTTCTCATTTATGTTGTATCGTGTACTGTGTAGTGTGAAGCTTTTTTTGCAGAAAAAAATAGGCAAGCACGTCTGCATGAGAGATGGAAGTCATGCAGCCCTGAAGCAGAATGTTTTTTTAAAGGTTTGGGAATTGTTTGCCCCCCCAATGGTAGTGCTTAATGTAAGTAGTAAGTGTGGGTGACACCTCCCGGAATGAGCTTACCCATAGTATGCTAAGTTTGAAAAGTAGTTATAACTGGTGTACTGGTTGGGATGGTTGGAGTACAGGGTGCTTAATATTATTGGTGATTGGGAAAAAAGGTTTTGAAATCAATATATTTGTGGTATTCATAGTGAATAGAATTTGATGTGATATAGTTCAATTAGTTAAGCATGTGATGTTTTATACCTGGAATTATTGTCTGTTACTTTGCACCGACTAACACAGTACCCTTCTCCAGTCTTCCATCCAGGGCACTAGTTATGAAACCCATCATTAACACTGTAGTAGGTCTTCCATCCTTTCTGCCAATAGGTCTGCCCATGAATAATCATGGCAACTACATTGTTAGGCTCGGTAATGTTGTCAAGTGGCTTGGAGAACAAGCTGAAGAATTGGGTGTAGAGATCTACCCTGGCTATCCAGCTAGTGAGGTGAGTTTTTAGCTCCACTGTCGACTTTGTCGAGCGGAGCTTATCATATGAGTGATTGTCCGTTGTCGTCGTCCGTGTCAATGTTTTACTTTTTCGACTTCTTCTTGAAAACTACAAGCCTGAATGCTTTGATACTTGGTGTATATGTACCTTGGGTAGACCTCTCTTAGGTTTGTTCATTTCATGTTGATATCTTCAATTCTCTGATTTTGGTAATTTTTGGTGAAAAGTGATATTTTCGACTTCTTGTTAAAAACCGCAAGTGCAATTGCTTTGATATTACATATATAGGTACTACATGTGGACCTCTCTCAGATTTGTTCATTTTGTAATGATACCTTTAATTCTCTAATTTTGGTGAATATTTTTGTAATTTTTGGTAAAAAGTGATATTTTCGACTTCTTGTTAAAAACCGCAAGTCCAATTGCTTTGATACTACATATATAGGTACTACATGTGGACCTCTCTCAGATTTGTTCATTTCGTGATGATATCTTCAATTCTCTAATTTTGGTGAATATTTTTGTAATTTTTGGTAAAAAGTGATATTTTCGACTTCTTGTTAAAAACCGCAAGTCCAATTGCTTTGATACTACATATATAGGTACTACATGTGGACCTCTCTCAGATTTGTTCATTTTGTGATGATATCTTCAATTCTCTAATTTTTAGTGAATATTTTTGTCATTTTTGGTAAAAAGTGATATTTTCGACTTCTTGTTAAAAACTGCAAGTCCAATTGCTTTGATACTACATATATAGGTACTACATGTGGACCTCTCTCAGATTTATTCATTTCGTGATGATATCTTCAATTCTCTAATTTTTGGTTAATATTTTTGTCATTTTTGGTAAAAAGTGATATTTTCGACTTCTTGTTAAAAACCGCAAGTCCGATTGCTTTGATATTACATATATAGGTACTACATGTGGACCTCTCTCAGATTTGTTCATTTTGTGATGATGTCTTCAATTCTCTAATTTTGGTGAATATTTTTGTAATTTTTGGTAAAAAGTGATATTTTCACCTTCTTGTTAAAAACCAATAGTTCAATATAGATACTACATGTAGACCTTTCTCAGATTTGTTCATTTCGTGGTGATATCTTCGATTCTTTAATTTTGGTGAATATTTTTGTCATTTTTGGTAGAAAGTGATATTTTCGACTTCTTGTTAAAAACTGTAAGTCCGATTGCTTTGATACTATACATATTGTTCATTTTCTAATGATGTCTTCAGTTCTTTAATTGAAATGTGCATTGCTAACAGCGGAGCTACAAAAAAATGTATCTCAGCCGCTAGGCTGCTTGTTTTAAGAATCAGTCATTTTTAGCATGAAATTATTTATAAGTGCTAAAAACTAGAATTGCTTGTGCATTTTGTAATAAAAAAAACTCTTCGCTCTTTGGTGCCCGCATTTAAACAAAAATGTTACTTGATTTTCTCTAAAAAATCAACTGAGCAATTTATATTTTTTGTTCTGGCTTTATATATAAAGTTACCATAAGAATGTCACAAAGGTATGCACTAAGGCAGTACAGGAATGCATCAACTTCCACTATTGTGATATTTTCATAATAACTTATTATATAGCCTGGCTATGTTCACACAGTCTCAGACCTTGTAGCTCAGTTTAAATGCTTGACAGTAGTATTGATATGAAATGTTCTCATGTGACTTCCAAAATAACATGCTCTAGTAGATAACAGTCAGTTGCGCATGTTTGTATTCTAGGTACTCTTTCATGAAGATGGCAGTGTGAAAGGAGTAGCCACCACTGATGTTGGCATTGCTAAGGATGGGTCTCCTAAGGTAGGAAGAGAAACGACTATTTGCCATGTGTACATGTACCATGTCTTTTTATTACGGCTGGAAATAGCAATAAACAATGCTTGATTAGAGGTGCTTCTACGGTGTAGTCTTCACAAAAGATTTTGCACAGACATGAACAATCCTAATCATCCAGTGGCGATGTGTTAGTGCTAAAAGGGAATGTAAATTTGTTACATTGTGCTTGTACTCTACACACAGGCGACCTTCGAACGTGGTATGGAGCTTCATGCCAAGGTAACAGTATTTGGTGAAGGTTGTCATGGTCATCTTGCAAAACAGCTTTTTAAGAAGTTTGATTTACGGAAATACTGCCAACCACAGACTTATGCGATTGGACTTAAGGAGGTGAGTTATTGATTGTGAAGGATGAAAAATTATCTTTTTTTATTTTATGTATGAAACACTGGACTAACTGTTTCCAAATCTGTATTATAGTTATGCCATCTGACTGGTTCAATTAATGACATTAATAATCCATATATAAAATGACTGCCATTACTACTGATTAAACTTAAACTTATTGTACATATACATTCTGTTTACATATTTATGATACTGTCACTAAAAACCAAATCGCTATGTTGGTGATGTCTTGTCATGCATTCCTGACGGTGTATTGTCACCAGTCCTCTTATGAAAATGAGACTAATAACAGCAAATGTTCTATTAAAAACAAAAATCAGAGAATATAGATTGATAGTTACAGCTATTGTCACTTTAACTGATTTTGTTATTTTTGGGACGCAACATGAAATGTGATGACTCCACTGATTGACCCATTGTTACAGCAATAACTGTGTTATAATATGACCTATACTTTCATATTTCAGATATGGGAAGTTGATCCAGCTAGACATAAACCAGGTTGTATAGAGCACACAGTAGGATGGCCTTTAGTAAGTACACATTCACATACATGTTCTTGTATTACTCATACTGGCACACTATCTTTGTTTGACATTTGTCTGCAGTTAAGGAACTATATACACAGTATATGCCTTATGTCACCAATTTATGCTGCTATCACTAACTGTCATACCTTCATATGAGTTATGATTGCTAAAGAAATTAGATTTGTTTCACTGGGGGCATTCTAGTCTCAGAGGACAGTCCAGTATCCTACACTGCCTTAGGTCAGTTTTGTATTGCTCTTTTCTGGTAATCCAAGCTTGTTTTCAGCTGATTAATATACCAAAAGCATTGCAGCTTTTCAAATATTGTATGTCATCATGTGACCTTATTAATATGCATAAAAGTAATTTGAAGCAAGCTATCACAAATACAGTAATTGTTATACATGTACGACTGTCAATAACATTGATTTGGGTTGTTGTGGGTGTGTCCCATGCAAACCATGACAACACACATTGCAACCAGTCAAAAGCATTATATTGCATTTCATTTTTAGCTCCATGAAAGATGACAGTAAAACTATTTGTATAGGTGATTGTTCACCATTCATCCCAGATTTGCTTTTACAACAACATAAAAATGGCTTCTGTCTCTTGTGAAGTTAGATTAATGTTCATGAACTGAAAATGTTAATTTCATGTGGCTTGGTAGATTTGAAGGCACAACCAAACATGCCCAATGAACCGGGAAATGAACCCGTCTCTGATAGCCGTGGAGTCCTGTATCGCCTCAATTTTCAATGCTAACCCAATAACATAGTCATGCTAGAACATCCTAAAATTTTGAAGAAAATAAGTATGAACAAAAAATAATAGCAAAGCCAACAATAATTTTCTTTCTGTCAGATATCATCTGCATTTTACCCAAATATATTAGTTTCTGATTAGTGTAATCTGGTTGTTCCAGAAATAAATCTAACTACATCGCCAAGTAGAAATTGCACCTGTGTCTGTGACAGCACATTCAGGGAATAGAAGTTTTTTTGGGTTTTTTTCATGATTTTTTAAGGCAAAATTATGTGCCTCAAATATAAACCAAGGATATATCCATTCCTTAAATAATTGCATTTTAAACTTGAATTTGAAATAAAACGCTAGACAAATTGCTTTGATACCTATTATGTAGTATCTATGGGTACACATCTGTCTGATTTGGTCATTTCATAATAATATCTTGAATTTTCTTTTAATATACTATTAAACTCTAGTCAGCTACTAGTAATCTATTTACATTCCATTTACCCTTCTAATAGATGTACAATTGTTGCGTATCTTGTTCGTTGTTCATCTCTGAATATAGATGTATTTCTAGCAGTTCACTCTAAGTACAAGAACCTTCCCAAGAGAGACCCTCACCTTCAGCACATTTAGGTAGTGTGCTGTGTTACCTGTAGTAGAAATGATGGATGTTAAAATTCTGATAGGCAATGCTAATGATGTTTATAACTTCCACATTAATTGAACCATTCCATGAAGCCATTTCATTTCAGATTTCACCACTAAAGGTGTATGTTTATGAAATGTTTCATGCAGAGACCTAAACTTGATAACTCACAGAGACAGTGTAATACAATTATTTGTTTCTTTTTATCTACAGGATTATAAATCTTATGGTGGTTCTTTTATATATCATCTAGATGAATCTGCACCACTTGTGTCTGTTGGATTTGCCCTTGGATTAGATTATCAAAATCCTTATGTTAATCCTTTCAAAACTTTCCAAAAGTTTAAACACCATCCATCTGTCAGCGGGTTATTTGAAGGCGGTAAGCGGATATCGTACGGTGCTAGAGCTCTCAATGAAGGCGGTTTCCAGGTAAGATTGGCCGTACTTCAAATTAACATCACTAGCAGCAGTAGTCTAACTTACAGAAAATTTGTTACATCATTTTGCATATTTTTTTTGTATTTTTCTAAAATGCTTTACTTAAATTTTAGACCAAATGTACGTAAGACTTTTTATTCCAGTGTGTTAATTGAGTCATTGTATATTTCAGTGTATTCCACAATTAGCCTTCCCAGGTGGACTCTTGGTAGGGTGTAGTCCTGGTTTTATGAATGTCCCCAAAATTAAAGGTACACACACTGCTATGAAGAGTGGTATTGTTGCTGCGGAAGCCATCTTTGATAAACTGACCAATGAGAATCTTTCATCTCATACAGAAGGCAAGTTTGTCAATATCCTTGTTATTTTTTTTATATTTATTTAAGTATAATACACACCCAAAAATCTGTTATTCAAAATCCTTGTCTTAAGGTAGAACCCTACTCGTAATTTTTGAGAAAGTCATAAATCGTATGACAATGTTCATTGGTTTATTACTGGGTATGTAAAATCGTGGAGCTATATTCCCATGACACCATGAAATAGCATTACTGTGTGTTTCAGTGATGTATTTTGAGAAACTTGTTCTAATATCTTTCAAAAATCGCTATTTTTGGAACAATTTCATAGAACACAATGTGAAGAAAAATTGCATTCTTTTACAATTTTTAAAACCCAGATTTTTGAAATAATTTAGGAAAACAAAAAGTACTCCATCAGTCACAATATATGTCACTAGCCTACAATTTGGATATTAAATGTATATTATCTCTGCCATAGAAACCTATTGTAAAAGCATTATAAACCTGACGATTTGGCCACTATTTTCTAAAATGCAACCATCATTTTCTCAAACATTTCAATATCATTATATTGTCCGTGAGCACAATTTATTGCAAAATGAATAAATTCTGAGTATCTGCATTTATGAGTTAGGGTTCTACTTTTAAAATGTCTGTGATTTAGACATAAGAGCATCAGATAAGCAAGGACGAATGAACAAAGAATGGGAACATGATTGACTAAAGGCTAAAGTGATAT